TATGGCAGATGTGAGTGGCCGAGTCGGGAAGGGACGCCCTAGGAAAAAGTTTATCGACCAAATTGGCGATATTTTGAAAATGGGCCACGTTAGAAGTACCCTTAACCGACGAGCATGTATGCGTAGATATATGGATGTAAAGGAGGCGAAAGAGGTATGTCGGGATCGTGCCAAGTGGAAGTCCGTAGTCTCCCTACCCCTCTGGGTGACAGGCGTGAGTGTTTATGTTATTTATTTATGATAAATAAAAGGGTTATTTTCTAAGCAGATTTATAGAGAATGGAAATTTAAAAAAAAGATTAACATAACATATCAATTTTGACAATTATTGGCAATCAAGGTTTTGAAAATAATAATCAAGATTATTAGCTCATATAAAACTATAGGTATAGACTAACTACTAACTAAAAAATGAGCAAAAGATCAGTCTCTTGTCGATCGATCTTCTCTGCCTACTCCGCAAAGGAAAACGTAAAGCTATAGTAGAAATGCATAAGTCGTTTTCTTCAAAAATATTGAGTTCTTACAGTTTACAATAAGATTACAAAATTGTAATGCAGCTAGTTTAAGGTCATTTTCTACGGAATAGTAACAAAATTTTTAATAATTCAAGCGCACTGGTGTCGACTATTACTCGTTAATTTGTTAAGCCTACTCAGCTGTGATATTTTTTTCATTTAACATCATCGTATACTACTATCGTCGACACTTTTTATATTTACAAAAATAACGGTTTAGTTAGTATAGAGTGGGGACACATAACTCCAATAAATAATACCAATTTGAAGCCAAATATGTTTCGCAAACGGACTTCTGGATCGATAAAATGTTCTTTCATACATCCAATATTTTAAATGACCTATCAAGTGACACCCCACTCGATGGAATAGACCGGTAGAAAGAACAAAGCGAAATAACACCTTTGTTGCACCCAAGGCCTCTGTGTAAAACTGCGGACAAAAGTGGTGAAACTAATAAGGGTTTCGTTTTGTTTAACTACGGCACCCTAAAAATGTCATTCTTATGTACATTTTGACAGTAATATGCAAAATGAAATGACGACGTCCAAGAGGAAGGAATTTTATTTTTTAATTAAAATTGTTATTTTTGTGGAAGTAAATTTTTTTAAGACTTGTATCAAAAATGTTGTCTGTAAATTTTGATTTAATATTCGCTTTTAAAGTTTAGGTATTTTCATTATCATATATATCATATGGTGGAGACACGTGTCTAAGGTTGCCGAAGTCTAATTCCCCGGTCGAACCTTAAACCTGTTACGCGAGATATTAATCTAAGTGGACTGTATCTACAAAATGATTCTACACTTATATATGCGGTACAACGCACTCGCTCTTCCCTAAAAACAAACTATTATTTGCCAAATCGATGAAAGGAATCCTGCTTGATTAGGAAAACACAAAATTGGAGCGGGTTAAAACAATTATATCAAGCAGGCTATACTATTAGGAAATGTTGACTCACCGGGATGTTTCTTCTATGCGGTCGAGCACTATAACTGCGACTTCTGGAACACTCCGGAGAGAGGCGGTGCGCGACTATATCTCACACGAGGTGAGGCGGGTTTCCTGGAGCTCGATTGCTTCCAGGCTAAAGCGGTTTCTACTAGTGGTGTGGTTTCAACGACGAGCGCGGCGGGAAGAAAGTGCGGTCGGTCGCGCGTGCCTTATATATCCTCGGTTACGATGATTACGTGATGTTCTAGAATCATCTTCTTTCCCCTCCCACCCCACCACCCCGATGTGTCGATAGGAGGGTATGAATGATATCGTTTTGGAATGGGATAACCGATTTGGCAGCTACCGTCAAATATAAAATAAATACGAATGGTTTTCCGCGCAACCATCATAATTTGTTAACAAACCTGTTTCTAAAATCTGTTATTTATTCTATAATATTTATTCTATTTTCTCGTTACATAATTTTGACCTTAACTTTCCTATGAATTTAAGTAACTTGATAACAAAATAAAACCTAATATAAATTACTTTACTCTCGTAGACAATTAATATTCAGTCTTCAAATGCTAGCAATTAACTCTAAAATGTAGACCGTTTTTACCCTAAAAAACGGTCTACATTTTATCAATGCTTCAATCGACTTTAAACTAATAATTATGGTTGTAATAAATTATTTAATATTTGACTAAGTTCTAATTGTATCGTTAACGTTTGTTTAAATTAATACAGGGAAAGCATTAAAAACTGCTTTGGAAATTATTTAATAGTTTACATATTACGTACATACTACTAGTAGACCTTACTGAGCTATTCAAAAATATTTTAAATACAGTAATATTATTTTTTATAATATAATTATTTGTTGTGAAAAAAATTAAGGGTTTTTATTCTGACCTTTTAAATTTTCGTAACTGAAAATGGTTGATAAAATGTGTTTCAAAATAATAATTCCTTTTTAAAGTTCGTTCGGAAAGATTCTTCTTCTTCTAAATACTCTTTCAACAATCTACTGCTCGTTTTTTTGGAATTTTTGATGTATTAAATCTCCTGAACGTATTGTATTGTTGGTAAGTCATACAGCCCTACTCAAAACGGATTGTATATCAACACAACACATCCTGGTGAATTAAACAGTGCAGAAATAATACGTTATTACTAGGGTTTTCTTTGTAAAATATACCCATAAACCCTAAAATTGCTGCCCATCAAATAAGATGCTCCGTTCGTGGTTATAATACATAATTTGTCCATTGGCAAGTTGCACTTTGAAATACCCTCAAAACATGAATAGTTAATAACTTTTTCATTAGTTATTCCTTTCAAGGATTTTAAGCATGCTAATTCTTCGGTTATGTTGAACTCTAAATCAATTCCTTTAATTAAAATCAACAATTGGGCAGTATCGCTCACGTCTGTGCTCTCGTCCATGGTTAGAGAAATGTATTAAAATTCGTTACAATTATTCTCAAGATGTGATGATTACGATACAATATACGATAATTGTTCAACGATGGTGTCAATTCCATCAGTTATCGTTCTCCGTTATAAAACTAAAGGTTGAAACTCAACTTTTTTCTAGGCAAAGAATGTTGCTTACAGCCAGTAATATTTTACAAATTCACCATCCCATAATGTTCTGTTACTTTTAGCAGTTTTGTAAGCTACAACATAACTGCGCAGTGTTGCAGCCTTATGAGTATCAGATTGCTTCGTGAACATAGTCTTTTTGCCTTTCAAAAAAAAAATTCTCTCTGCCTCTGTCATAGATGAATATTTCTCATTAGAATATTTTTATGAGAAGTGTTTAAAAACAAAGTGAAGTAAATAAATTAAAAGATAAAAAAGGTAACTGCTCTGATCCGTTCAACTATAGGCTTATCGTCATCACCACCTTGTTCTCTAAAATAATAGAATTATATAATAGAATAGAATTATTAGCCAGCTCATGCGATACCTTGAGGATCAGCAGCAGATTAGTGACAGCAGTACGGTTTCCGTCGCGGTCGCTCGGCTGGTGATCTTCTGGGTTACCTAATTCATAAATGGACGCAGGCAGTAGAGTCTAAGGGGGAGGCGTTGGCCGTTAGTTTAAATATAGCGAAGGCCTTCGATTATGTTTGCCACAAAGCACTTCTCACGAAGCGTTCTTCCTATGGGCTTCCTGAAAAATCATGCAATTGAACCATCTGTTTTCTTGCAGATAGAAGCATCAAGGTCGTAGTAGACGGTGCATGCTCCGATTATAAGCAAATTAACCTGCTGTTTTACAAACCTGCGTGCTATCACCGACGCTGTTTCTCCTGCATATAAATGACATGTTACAAACCGGTAAAATTCATTGCTATGCAGACAAAAACACTGGTGATGTTTTATATACTGACCGTGACAATATTTCTCAGGAAAACGTTGCTGAGTACCGGGACAAAGTTGTGTCTGAAGTCGAGACTTTGTTATACAAAGTCTCGGATTAGGGGCGACTAAATCTAGTCCAATTAAATCCCCAGAAGACACAAGTATAGGCGTTAACCGCAAAAAAGAACCCCTTCGTCGTATCTTCTCAGTTTCTCGGCGTCGACATGTCGAGTGACGTGCAGTTTCGTAGTCACTCTAAAAGATTGCCGTGCTCAGCAGAGTGGGATAGTATTTCGTGCCAGCTCACTGCCTGCAAATTTCTTCATTTCCATGTGCAGTAGAACCTGCGCCTTGTAAAGGCGCAGGTTCTACTGCACATGGAATACTGTTCCTATCTCCAGGCGGGGGCTCTTCAGTGCCAGCTCCTTCCATTTGATCATAACCAGCGCAGAGCAGTATGAATCATCAGCAACCGAACTACTGGCACTGCGAAGAGATGTTGAAACTTTTTGCTTATTTTATCACATCTACCACGTCCACTCTGAGGATTTGTTCAGGCTAATTCCAGTCGCACAATTTCACCAACGCACATCCATACCATCTGGTTGACTAGCGATCATCCGCCATGCACTTTTAAAGAAGTTTTCTACCTTGCACAAATTCCTTATGGAATCGACTACCACCAGAGATTTTTTAAAGCAAAGATAAAATTTCTAACTATTCGAAAACTTAACTTGATATTTGTTTGATGGTCCGGATTTCGACGCTTCGCTGGCTGGAGTCTGTCTATTGGCCGTATTTTCCTCATCCTTGGGCTAAACCATTCGTTCAAAACCTCTATGAAAGCAATTGCGAATCGGAACCCGATGACACCCCACACGACCAAGAAACAAAAATCCTGGGCACTAATAACTTTTATTTATTTATTTATTACATACTTTCTTTATGCCTGCTTATGTTTGATTTTTAAATTTTAATTTGCCAAACTGCAAAGCGTTTTTTTTTAATGTTATATTTTTTTTTCGAAATAACAACTTCAACGTTTATTGGTAAAAGCAGAATAAATATCAGCCAATGATTTCATTTAAGAAACATATGATGATTTACCTAATTTTTCCTTTTATTTATATTTTTATAGGACGACAAAGATTACTACTAGAGCTACTTGTCATGACACAAACGATTCGGTTATATCCTGTTGTAAGTTATTTTTCTGAAATAAATAATATTTCAGAAAAACTTACAACTTAAACACCAAAACTGAAAACCCAAAAATTAATCACAATAATGTATATATACCGGGTGTTTGTGAAACGCGGCCGGGAACGAAGATAGACGACAGAACTAACGACAGATGAATTTTGAAGGCGAACCAAGAAGAACTTTGAATTTACGTAGCGAAAGTGTAGTAGCTACTAAAGGAGGAGCTGTAGTTCCATCCCAAAGTTTGAGGTCGTCGAGCGTTTTTTTCATGTCAGCCTTCACGTTGTCAACCCGGTTGTTCACTCGGTCGATTTGGGTTTCAGACACCGACAGGCGGGTATCCTTTACCTTCCTTATCTCTTTCCCGAAGGTAGCGTGCATATCCTACATGAGGAGCATCTGCTCTTTCGTTTGAACTGCTCTTCCAAATGACGGGCCTGTTCCTCCTATCGTCGGGCCTGTTCCTTCTGGCCACGGGTCTGTTCGTCCTGTCAGCAGTCCTGTTCCTCCTGGTGCTCTTTCAACCAACGGGCCTGTTCCTCCTGTCGGCGCATCATCATTAGAGCACCTAAATCAGGTGCTGCAGATGTCGGAGCTGCTGACGGGCATGCCTCCGTGGCCAGCAGCTAGCCCTCCAACTTTTGCGGCGTTACACCAGCAAATCGTCTCTGGTCCGTCTCCAGCTGGCGTTGACATTAGGTAAGGATACCATCCGTGTTGTCCTTAGGTAAAATCGGCATGATTGTATTCCAATTCTGACACCAATTTTTACGAGCTTGGGGTTCGTGGCAGTAAAAACTTCCGATTGAATTACTAATATTTACACTTTTATTACCAAACACCAATTAAAACTGAAAACACACTAACATTTACTCACACTGAACACTTTAGTTCGTAGTTATGTCGCTTAGAAGTATTCGCTTGATCGCCAATTCAATACTCTTTCGGTCGCGTCCCATACTGCCTTATATATGACATCTAGTATGTTCAAGCAAATAAGGGTCCCGACCTACTAGGTGTAGAAAGTTCTAAGATGGAATTTTCTAGAAAGTTTATTTCTGCTACTCGATATTAGATGGTGCTTGTGTTATGTACCAGGCATCAACTACAGCACGTAAAATTAAAAATGTTAGATTTTTTGAGACTAATTAACCATATTCGTCAGTGAATTATATTTAAAGACCTATAACTTAGTTCGATTTCAGGTATTTAAATAAAATTAAAATTGGTATTAAAATATACAGTGCTAGTACTAGCTTGCATGTAACGAAAGAAAGATAGATAAAACTCAGCATGTTCTCTCTATCTGTCTTTGTTGTTCGGAGATTAAAACGCAGAAAAAGAAATACATGGAGTCACACAGATTGCAGTTGGCATTTAACTTTAATTTGGCCCGACATATATTTCATTAGTAAATATTGGCAAGCCAAAAAAAGTTTCCCCATCCCCTGTTTAGCCGCTACTGCCTTCTTCTTGGGTTTTAGCTTGCTCTTCTTGTTTGAATTGAAAGAAGCGGGTGTTTCCTATGCTCCAACATCGACGTCTTCATCCGAAAAGAAAAGATTAGTCGACCTGTAAATATAAAGTTTTATTAACATATATCTACAATGAATAGTAAATTAAAAAGAACTAATAATATATTAATAAACTAAGAAAAGGCTTAGGCTTACAGGTGTAAGCCTGTGTAAGACTGAGATACGTGACATTTCTATCAAAAAAAGTTAGCAATTACAGTTAACCAAGTATTTATCAACCAGGTTGGGAATTGAATCGAAACTAATTCGTCGATCTAAAACATCATAAAAATAATATAAAACAATATAACAAGCACTTGGAGAAATACACATGTGGCAGTAAGATAGATAAAGCCGTAACATAGTTATATCCCTAGGGATATAATTATATACCGTAACATAGTTATACGAAAGCAATTCTTTACTATCTCACTAGGAATATAGTTATAAAACCGTCGAAGTTTAGTGATGTACTTATATTACTAGATTAAGTTTAGTGAAATAGCTTTCGGAGTGTGCGGCGCAGGCGCATCATCTTCAGCAGCAGCACCAGAGCCTATTGAAACCTGCGACCGTGACTTGCCTGTCGCGTCTGTTAACTTGCAACAACCATCATCTTCATCAGCAGCGCCAGCGCCTATTGAAACCTGCGACTGTGACTTGCCTGTCACGTCTGTTAATTTGCAACAACCGTCATCTTCATCAGCAGCACCAGAGCCCATTGAAACCTGCGACCGTGACTTGCCTGTCGCGTCTGTTAACTTCAATAACCGTCATCTTCATCAGCAGTGCCAGCGCCTATTGAAACCTGCGACCGTGACTTGCCTGCCGAGTCTGTTAACTTGCAACAATCGGCATCGGAAGTGCCAGCAGAACAAATGACTTTTACTTTTATGTGTAGTTTGCGGCAAAGAATGTACAGGAGCACATTCATGCTACTCGTGTGCATGAAATGTTCACGTAATTTGTGGAATAACGTCATGTGATGAAGATTACGGATCGCAGCTATTATGCTTTTTATGTAACAGCGTAAAAAACATTCAAGACCAAACAGACAAAACTGCCGAAAACTTAAGATAAGCCGCACAAAAAATGAAACCCCACTCATCACAGAAATATCCTGACATTGACGTCGGATCTTCAGTTCTTTTAAAATACCAAAGATAGACCGTGGACCATTGGATCAAAAAAATGTGTTAGTAAAATTTTTAGAAAAGCGAAATGAAAGTCATAAAATTGGAACTTCAGTTGGTATCTTGAAAGATTGGTTACCTAGAAATGCAATACACCTTTCAAACATTACTTTGAATGATCCTGTATCAAATGAAAACTTGTCACTGAGAGAAATATGCAAAAAATTGTCGCGCTTTGGTAGCCAAGGTTATTTAAAATGTTCCTGTAAAAAATCGAATATACAATATTTTACTAAAAGATGTGCCTGTAAGAAGCATTCAGTGCTATGTAATTCTAGATGTCATGATTCCTCTTCTTTTCTGAACAAAAATTAAAAAATACTTTTAAAGGAACCAAGATCTCAACTTGTGGATAAGAAATAAAGATATCTCAAAACTGTTTGGCATTAAAAGATTTTTAATGTTTGATTAGTTTTAATTGTATTGTTAATGTTTAAATTTCAAGAAATATGATCGTCTTAATTATAATTACTTTAATACATGTTAATGTCACGAAGTTTTGTAACTAACTGCAAGATACATAATATTGATTAATAAAAAAGATACAACCAATAAAATTGTGTTTTATTTAATTATATATGGTAGATTTCTATTTCACTAAGCTTAATCAAGAAATGGGTCTGTCTCAAAAAAGTGGCACACTTTTGAGATTTTTCAATTTTTCAAAAATATTTGAGAATAAATAAGCTTTAATATACTACAATATGATGTCAATGTGATACAATATGACTTTTTTGAGACAAACCCTAACATATTTATAACATTGAACCTAATGTAGTAATATAATTATATCACTAAACTTCGACGGTTTTATAACTACGAGTATATTTCTAATGAGATAGTAAAGAATCGCTTTCGTATAACTATATTACGGTATTTAATTATATCCCTAGGGATATAAATATATTACGGCTTTATCTATCTTACTGCGACACATACATACTTGCTAATCAGGCTTCCACTGTCACTAAAAATTTACTAATAATTTACTTGCACTTTTCATTGCGAGATTGAGAGAATTACAATGAAACATGGAGCTCTGATAATCTTATTTATACACACAAATTATAAAGATTTAATCACGTACGTGCGCATAGATTTTAAATTCAATTTTAATAATTGTTATTCTGGGCTGCATAGACTTTACGATAGTGTTGCCCAAATGCAAGAACAAGACGAGACTTAGCCAGTGTTGGTCTTGGTCTTGCGCCAATACACCTGGTCTTGTTCTTGATCTTGGTCTTGCAGCAAGAGTCTTGCAAGTCTCGCAATTACTTATTGGCCTATTTTTATTTATTAAACGTTACTTTAGATCTTAGAAGAACTTAACAGAGTAGGCACATTTTGAGCTTGAATTAACATAGCCGTAGAAAGACCAACCAAATTAATAAATATCTATGAATGTGGGTGGGGTTTGAACCCACGACCTAAGCGATCCGTGCCGATGCTCTAACCAACTGAGCTGTCTACCAAGTCTCACGGCTACGGGAGTTAGTCTGTTTCTTAATAAACGTTTACATTAAATAAGCTTACATGTGCTAAAACTTAGTCAAAACATATAAAAAACAAATTAATGACATTAACTTGACTGTATTATAAAGAACATTATCTGTCTAGAAAGAGATTGATAGACCCTTATATGAAATGGAATAAAAGAGTTATACAATTTACCATTTATTTAAATAAAAAAATAAAATACAAAACAAATTAAATTACATAACAGTACACAATAGCTTTGACATTACTGTTACCTTATATTAATTCTTTTAACCAAGAATTAATACAAAGTAACCATCTGGCTGACTCATCACTTAACCTATTTCTATGTTTTCTAATTACTAATGATGCTTTAGAAAAGCATACAAGCAATCTCTAAGCAGCTACTGAAGTTGCAGGTATTGAAAGAAAATCACGGGCCATCTTCGATAAAGTCGGATATTCTGTCTCATGCGTCCTCCACCACTCTAAAATGTCTTCCGAACTGGCGGCTCTGAGTTTACTTATCTACTCCTTCAACTCGTCTATAACTAAGCCTTGATGAAAATATTCAGATCCAGGTGACGTCGAGGGACATGCATACAATTTCTCAAAGTCTATTACGTCTTAATCTTCATCATAGTCACATAATTTCTTTTCATTTCTTGGTTATTCTAGAGATGTATTCACTGAGTGTAGACTTTTATATTCTTTATAAAGTTTATTAAATTTGCGCAGGCTTTCTGTTTTAATTTGCATCTCCCATAATGTCATGTCAAAAGTCTGAGTCTTATCTAGCCTTGGGTCTAAAATTAAAGAGGTACAATAAATCCAGTTGCTCTTTTTATAAAGTTTAAGCATTTTGTCTCGAGCTGCTTGAAAACCCAGAATGAGCCTTTCATCAACTTCGGATCGATTAGGTTTCTCATCTAATTGTTTTACCATAGACTCAATTTTATTGAGCAGGAGATTGAATGATACAATGACTAGCGATAATGTAACATATTTTTCTCCACCAAGTTTCGTTGATAGAATTTTAAAGTTTATAAGAAATTAATGTATTTTTTCGAGTATTTGCCATTCACTATCTGTGATTTGAAAATCATTCAATTCGGTGACAGAAGTGCACAATATGTTGATGCCAGTTCTCACTTTTAAACCAAATCTAATCATATCATGTCTGGAATTCCATCTCGTTGGACAGTCGAGTATGGGGTTCAGATTTGATGGCACGCCAGCTGCTTCACAAGCAGACTGAAACTTCCTCTTCAATATCTCGCTTCTTTTTATTTGACTGGAAATACTGCGTAATTTTGTTATAGCTGTACGTGAGTCAGCAATATTTGGCGCATATTCTTCTTCTTCCTCAGTTTCGTCTTCATTATCTTCATACTGTTGTTTTTGTCCCTTATTGTCAGTTTCACTGTGTAATGCTAAGGTCTTTAATAAGTCTTGTACACCAAGGTTCAAAATGTGAGCAAAAAACCGGAAATGTAGATTATCTGAATCAAAGTGTGGCAGCTGGTTGTCCAATTCATACGTAAATTTGGTATTTGCAGTTGTGTTGTCGACCGTGATACCCTGAATTTTATCAATTATGTCATATTCCAATAAACATTCGTGGAAAATCGTTGCAATATCTTCCCCAGTATGTTGACCGCGTGATCGTAAAAAATCAAGGACTACAGATTGATACTTCCATTCGTTGTCTATATAATGAATAGTGACCCCTAAGTAACTCCTACCAGCAATTGACATCCATTCATAAATGGTAAATGACATTTTAGATGAAAATTGTTGTAGTCGTTTCTTAAAATTCAATTGAAGCTCTTCAAACCGTTCTTTGACCTTCCTTCTAAGTGTGGACATTTTAGGAAACACCATATTTGGGCAAATTGATTGAAAATAAACTTGTGTAGCTTCGTCATCGAAAAATGAGAAGGGAAGATATTTTTTAACCATCCAATCATCTGTAGCTGTCGTTATGTTGTCACTGCTATTTTCAGACTGAAATAAAACAGAAAATCATGTGTCTCGACGATTATAAAAACAAATGAAAATATGAGTGAATTATAAATACATATTAACACTATAATCTATATATATATATAACTACCACTCACTAACTGACTATAACGATATCTCAGGAACTACTAAGGGAGTAAGATGGGAGGTGGAAGTTTGTATGAAAGTCCTACGTTTTTGAAGTTAGAGACACGAAAATCGGCATTAAAGTTATAAGTTTTCAATAATAAAATCCTAAATACAGCTTATTCAGAATTCCTAACCCCGGGGTGAAATTATGGTAAAATGGTTACATGCAAGTCCTATATTTTTAAAGTATTGATATGAAAACCGACATTTACTATATTAATTTTAAATAATAAATTCTTGCATAGTTAAGCTTTACCTATATAGCCTCTTTATACTTAGGTAAGACTTTTGCAGCGAGAAAATTTCAAAATCTCATAGGAAATCAGATATTGTACGCGGACGAATCGCAAGCGGCCGCTAGTTACATAGTATATGTGTTATGTAATTGTGTGATAAGTATATTTTTTCTTACCTGTCCACTTTTTCCGGTGGTTATTAAAAAGCTTGTGATATCTCCACTTAATTTTGGTTTTTTAGGAGGAAATATTTGTAATTCTTTTTTGTGGAAAGATATTATATGCTTCCTTAAGCCTTAAGTGTTTCTGTTTTTCATTTTTATTTCAATCTTTTTTATGTTGGCATAATTTACACAAAGCAATTTGAGATGCATGAATTACGTCGAAAAACTCATCAAATTTACTTTCAGGTCTTTTAGATCTATAACTCCAACTCTCACTACTCCGACTAGAACTATTCGACTCTTCGTCACTCATGTCAAATTGTAAACTTATCACTCCGAGAACAACAAGGATTAGAGTAAAAACAATTAATACATTAGACTCGAAGCAAAGCTCAATTGGGAATGACTGGAATTAAAATAAATACTACTATTTGTAAGTACACGCCGAAAGACCGACAAAGGAAAGTTCGGCGTCCTTTGATAAAATTAATGATTCTTCAGAAGATTAATAAAGTAGATGCGTTGCCAGATAGGTATAGTGTGTCTACGTAAAAATGAAATGTAAATATGTAAATAAAATTGTGTATATTATGTTCTTCTTGTGATTGAATTATTCTACGTTAATTAAATTTAATTTGCCTTCACTCGTTTGAAATTCG